CACTTTCGTGACCACGGGCCGAGAGTCTTTGCTAGATTTTGGCATTTAGCAACTGGCATACGGTTTAATGTGAAGTCAACAACAACAACAACAAGGGCCTGGCAAAAAAGAGTTCTGAACCAGGTGATTTAGAACCAGTTTGTTTCAAGGATTCCAAAAACAAATTTTTTTCACAGCGGTGATGGGGGCACGACAAATCGTAATTTACCGGTTCCGCCGCGTTTTTGGTGAAACGGTATATTCGGCATAACTGGTCACCAAGGTGTCTGTGAAAGCTAAAAGTGGGTTCATTCGAAAGCCCTGGTTCATAGCTTTCGAATGGTGTAGATTTTGTTGGGTAAATAACCAGGCCCTAGAGAGAAATTTATCAAGTGGCCTGTGGGCGGGCCCAGGAAAACTACCACTTTAACTAGGCCTGTCCTCCATGGGCCGTTTTATTTCCGATTTAGATACACAAACTTTATTTCTATACTAATTTCAAGTAACTCCACCTTCTTATTCTCCGTCATACAAGCAAAACGGCCGATGGAGGACAGGCCTAACTTTAACGCCACAATTCCCAGGTTTTTTTTTATGTTCTATCACACAACAAATCCATCTCTATCTATAGAAGTAAGTCTAAGATAGATTAGCAATGAATCCATAGCGTGAGCGAAAGGCTACCTGTATGTCTACGGTTTCCCAGACAGCATACAACGATATCTCCCCTGTGGGTAACAGGCTCAACAAGACAGTTTGGTAGCCATCTTGTGTATCTATGTGTAGGTTTTCGATTAACTGTGTAGGTTTTCGATTAACTGTTGGCTATTACTACGCTTTGTTGCGATTGGGATGACTTTTTCGGCCATCGAGCGGAGACCGGGACGGATTTGATGTGTGAAGACAGCAACAACTGTTTCTTCCAAACACAAGACTATTTTCGAAGCGTGTACCCTGTTGACGTAGCCGTCCTGTGACCACGGAAGGCGTCCACGTCGTCAGTGGAACCAGCACCAAGACGCACTGGGCAGAGACCTGAGCGGATTGTTATGTACAGATTCACTGCTGTTGAGGATGGGCAGAGGGGGGAAGAGATCTTCTGTTCATCACGCCCACCGGCTGCGCCGCACATAGTCGGTGGGTTCAACAAGCTCAGTCTGCCGGTCTGCAGCCGTGAGACGTACGACAGGGAACTAGATACCCCCCGGACAACTACAGGCTGCTCGATCGACTCGTTGTGAGCCTAACCCTCGAGGATCATCTTGTACCCTTCATCCCACATGCACCGGTGATGTCATCAACGACGACCTATGTAAGATGTAGATCAAATGGAGGAGAAACTAGCAGCCTTCGAATAGAAGATGGCATGGGTGTGACCTGTCCTACCACGTGGTAAATGTTGCCCAGCTAGGAGCGCATGCATTGTCATCAAGCTCCACGTAGACCGCCGTCCGCTGCCTGGTGGACGAATAGAGTGAGGAAGGTAGGGTGCACATGTTGCGATAACTTTCTTCCTCCAAACACGATACGAAGCTGCGGTCAGTCCAAGCAGCACTCCACACTTCACGCACAAATACAGCAGTTTTGATGCACGTATTCTGGTTCCAGCCACACACGATGTAAGAGGGGAGACGGGGAAAGAGAGGGGAGCCTAACCGCCGCCAACACAACAGCGCTTGCTCTGGAGCCCTCCGACGAGCTTCTCTAATGCGAAGGCGTGGGCGAGGATTTCCAGCTGACGAGCAATCCCCGTGTGTTTGATGCCCAAGAGAGCCAACCAAAACCACGGCTGTTTTTATCACCCCGACGCCGGGGGTACGAGAGGCATCACAAGTCACGCGATGCGAAGAACAGAAAAAAATGCAACATTGCGCCCTTTCATACCTCTATTTTAGGTGTACTTCATTGATCGCTGACTGACAAGAAACGCAAGCGCTGCTGATACAGCATCACACTGACCGAACAAGCAACGCATCGGGTGCTTCCTTCGACCAGATTCAACTTGTTGCCGCACCAATAGGGCCGGGGGCTCCTGTATGGCCCAAAGCAAGCAAAGCAAGGAAAAGCTCAGCAGCAAGAGGGACCTTCGGGCTCCTGTATGGCCCAAACCCAAAGCAAAGCAAAGCTCAGCATGCTACAACGAGGCATCAGGGGGCGGCTCGGCTTCTACAGCTCTCCGCCTTAATGGCAACACCAAACCACGACGACCATTGCACCACGCGGCCCCCGGGTTTTCGAACGACCTCAGAGTAGCCCCCGCCTTGCTACCAAACCTACTGGTACATCCATAAACGAACCAAATAGACGAACGCCCAAGTCGACGAGCTAGATCTTGAGCCCCTCGAACTGCTGCATGGCCTTGAGGACGCTGTCCTTCTGCGCCTCGAACTCGGCCTTCTTCTTGGAGTTGGTCTCTCGGACGGCCTCTGGGACCTTGTCCTCGTACCCGGGGGCTTCCATCTGAAACCGTCCAGTCGTTTGGCCAAACAGCGCGCGTCCAATCACGAGAAGAGCGAAAATTGATTCCTTTCGCTCGCAGCTATTTTTTCTTTTCTCCCATCATTGGACTCTGTCGTCTGCCCCTCTGGCCCCTATCCTCCACTTCTACTAGCTAGACGACCCAACCGGGGTCACATAGGAGGGGGGGGCTGGACCCCCCCCCTGCGGTTCCTGCCTGAGGTATTTTTATCGCGAGAAGGGTACAGCAATCCCTTCCCTCGCGACTTACGAAGTCGATTATGGTTTACTAACAACGAGCTTTGCAGCGCGTCGCTTTCATCCTAGACCAGGATTATTGAGTGAGAAAAAAAATCTCTGCCGGGACTCGAACCCATGACCTGGCCCTTAGCAGGCTGCGAGGTTACCCACTAGACCACCGGGGCGACCGGCAGCTATGTACACTTGCGGTGGAATTGCAAGCGGAAAACAACTCACTCGAATAAACGGCAACATGTTGCGTGATCGATGTGGGGAGATTTCGTCCTCATAAAGGGGGGCGAGGTTTCCCCTTGCCTATCGACCTGACTGGTTGTGATGGGTGTGCCACCGGTGCAACATATGAGAGCAAAGCATCAGCCGGAGTAGCAACGTCATCAGGACCCCGATAATGAGAAATAGAATGGGAAGCATCGCACTGTTCAAGCTAGGGTTTGGTTCGGCAAACGATTTACTCGCATCACGCCGGGAAAAACGCGACAATAGTTAACCGTGCGCTCGTCCATTTCGTTGGTATCCTGTGAATAGCACACACCGTGATTGTGGGAGAAGAAAAAAGAGACATCACAAGACATGTCCCCACCGACCCGGTGCTTGTGGCATGGCATTGCCGCCTCGTGCACCCAGGGACGGGACCAATCGCCCAAGCAGTCAATCCACGCTTGAGGGGAACAAATGCGACAAATCTACATTCATGAACGCACTCAACGGAGGGAGCAAGCAGAGATGGGCACCACAAACCCAATCAAAATTTCGTGTTCTCCTGGCGTGATTATACGGCTGGCTGGTCCCAGCATGTACTAACTCACTCCAACACGACATCACCAATGGCAAAAGCAAATGGCCCATACAGCGGAAACACCACTGGAAACAATGGAACCATCACTGCTGCTGCTGCTGCTGCTGCTGCTGTTCTGCCGCGTACGTGGTGGTGTGATTTTGGATTCCGGAATGTTACACCGAAAGTCTTTACGCAGAGCGTCCCCTCTAAAGTCTCTTGAAATGGCCACGAGAGTTTCGGACAGGTTGACGTCAGGGGCAAAGTCTTTCACTGACCTTCTTCACGAGCATGGTGATTTGAGGCTCGATCTTGGTGTCCAGCTGCCAAACGAAAAAGACGATAGCGGAAGAAAGAAGGGCAAGGAAAAAAAAAACGCGAATACGAGAGAGGGTTGGATAAAAAAAAAAGGAAAGAAAAGAAGAATGAGCAAACACAACGAAGCGACGACGGGAGACAAAAGAAGGAAGCGAGACTTTGAACAAGCTCGGATTGGGGTCAGGAAGGATGGTCGTCATGGCCACAGCCGCTCCTGTGTCGACCACTACAGCTATCACACCTGGAAGCAACCATCAAAATCAGGCAACATCCACGACGAGGGGAAAAGTCCGTGCACATGTGTTCCGAGGTTTTCATCGACCACCGTCGCGCGGAAAGGGACAACGGCAACGACCGAACGACAGGAAGCACATGGACGGGTGGGACGAGCCTACTCGGTCATCGCGCACCGCCGATAGAACACGCACGCGCTCCCCACATTCGGGTGCCCTTCCTTGGCCGATACGCCGCATCCATACATAAAAACTACCAAAATGCCGTATGTTGCATGAGATACCACCCCGTGGATAGAGCCTACCAAATCGATACATCTCGGGTAGGTGCTTTCTTCGAACAAGGGGCGTTCGCGTCAACGGTAGCTTGCCTTGCCCGACTGACAGATAGCTTTGAAAGAATACCCGCGTTCGTGCCTTGCACGAACCTCAGGAAAGGCACCACAATCTCGCGTCTCTCGTATCGACCGCTACTCTGTGTTTTGTGCCAGTCCGCCTCGGCAACAGGAGTGTCGACCTAATCTTACACCTCCGAACAAAGCACAGCAGCGCGAGGGCTGGTTGGTGATCCTGTAGCTTCTTGCCTTTCCCCAAAGAGGGCTCCCCACGCAGGGCACACAACCACGATAGGTCTATTGATAGGCCTTCCATCCACACCATGTCGGGGAGCGTCACTGCTGCACACTCTTGTGGGTAACGGTGTTGATTTTGGTCCCCGCTCCTGCTGTTGTTGACCGATCGCATCAATTTTTTGTTGAAGCCAACAGGCCGCCGAGATGCCGCCACCATCAGACAATCGCAACCCTTGAGGCAAAGACATCTCCGTGTACGTGGTTACCTGCTTCTGGAGCTTCTTGATCTCCACGTCAAAGTCGACCATCCCTCGCAGCTGCACGTACACCTGACAAAACGACAAGCGCCCGCGGCGGGGGCAGACATTTACTACAGTGCCGCACTGCTGCATTGCCAGATAGGTCACCTCCACCCCTTGCATCCCTGAAATGAACGCACAAGGAAGTAGAACCACTCAACAGGTACAACTATTTCCTCCAAAATCCGAGAGTGCGAAAATACGCACATGAAGGAATATTTACTGCGGTCAGGCGAGAAACCCGACAAATCCGGAGACAAGACGAAAACTTTCCCGCTGCGCTCCGTGGGGTTCATTTTCTTCACACAAAGCTTCTCCCTGTCTCATACCTGTGACTGGTACAGATATCTCCCAACAATTGCAATAACAAGAGCAAGAACTTTCCCGCCACGCCCTCCTCGAGATGCACTTCCTCGTTCACACAAAGCTTCTCCGCGCCTCCTACCTGCGACTGGTCATCGATGATGTGCACGGCGCAGCCCTCGGGGGGCTCGTCGTTCATGAGCGGGACCGCTGTCGACGCCTTTGCCAGGGTGATGAAATCGCTCGCCTGAACCATGACAATAGCAACAACAACA